GCTCCTCGCGTGCCGACTTCGGCTCAGCGCTCTTTGGGCGCGAGGGAGCGTCGCCGTCACTGACTGCATTCACTTCGAGCGACGCCGAATCGGCGTCGGTGATCAGACAAACCTGTTCGATTTCATCGTCCTTGAGGCCGCGAAGGAAGTTCTTCCAGGAGAGACCTGAAAGTCGAGTGATCGACCCTGCTTCGCCAGGCGGGTTTGCAAGCTCGAGTGTTCGTCGGCGGCCAGAGTTACCTTCCACATACTCAAGCACGCAGACCGACTCGTTCGGTGAGCTGTCACTTGGGTACGGGCTCTCGGCGAGGTTTCAGCCGACGCCGCTTCGACTTCCTCTTTCGCCGCCTCGAGTGCGAACTCGAGGATGATGAGTCGCTCTCGCTGGACGAGATGTCACCCCCCCTCTAGCGGGAGCCCCTGCTCGACCCGCCATCTCGTTCGTCTGCGAGAGCCCCTGCTCGACCGCCATCTCGTTCGTCTGCGGGAGCCCCTGCTCGACCGCCATCTCATTCGTCTGCGGGAGCCCCTGCTCGACCGCCGTCTCGTACATCTGCGGGAGCCCCTGCTCGACCGCCAGTTGGTCTTCATCCCCGCGGCGCCGCGGGGACTCGTCAGTTAACAGCACTGCGCGAGCCGTGCAGAGAGGGCCATCGCTCACTCTGTGCACAACGTGCGTTGTGGATGACCGGTCCACGACGGTGACGTGAGTCTAATCCTTCTGGGCGACCAGGAGGTGCGTGAACACCTCGCTCACATCATAATCACTGCGGCGCTTGACCGACCGGGCCAACCAGTCAATCTCTGGTTGATAGCGCGTCAGCCACGGCATACCCAGGATGCAGTCAAACGCGTAATTCATCTCAATGACGAGGAAGTCGTCGTTGCTTCGGAAACCGTCGAACGTGTACGGAAGGGTAATCTCGCGCCGCGCTACGCGGCGTGATTTCCCATCGGCCAACTTGACAGCGACCTCCCCTCTACCTTTGCGGACAGTGATGTCCGACGGGAGTACCGACAAGCACGACGCTGGGAAGTTGTTGTTGGTCGCTCCTGAATCAAGGAGCGCTCGCAGTGGTCGCCGGGCACCGGCGACATGAAGACTGACAATGATCAATCTTGAATCGCTCGGCGTGGTGGTGGCATGAAAGTGTGCATGCAGCACAGGAGGGCTAGGAGGTTGGGTTGCCACCGGGGGACCCGGACCTCCATTCCAGCCAGTAGGGCGCCCCGCACCTACTGACCCTGACCGTTTTTTGGCTGGTCAGAACTCACGGGCTCGGCATCGACATGCGCAAGCACTGGAGCTGGCGCGCGGCACTCCGCCGCGCGATGACCGACCTTCCGACAGCGGAAGCAGGTCAGAGAACGATTGTTCCGAGCACCGCTCCGACGCGCTGCATAACGCTGACGATTGCTCGTCGCATCGATAGCGTCGATGTCCATGGGCTCGGGCGCAGAATCCCGAGCAGAAGCAGGTAGCGCGTGAGCGTATGACGCCGCAACCACGTAGTCCTCGCGTAGGGCGAGGGCGAATGCCTCTTCGAGCGTAGAGGGGTCCGATCTTGTAAGGCAGTAGCGCGTCATGCCTTCGCGCATACCGAACACGAATACATGAACCTGAGAGGCCATATCGATCGGCTTAGACACGATGCACGACGCGAGGTGTCGTGTCTTCTGGACGTAGTCGCGCATAGTCATCGTGCCTTGCCGAAGGGCGAAGAAGTCTGCCCGAATTCGGGATTCATCTTGCGGCGGCTCGAACGCGAGCCGAAGGTCACTCTGGAGGGTATCCAGAGTGGGGAAGACGTTGGGATCGACAACCAACTTGCCGAGAGCCCATTCCTTGGCTTTCCCAGACAGCCGCGAGAGGAGGAAATGGACCTTCGCGGAAGGCGCCTCGATCAACCTCGAGGCGATGGCGATGTCGATCTCTCGAAACCAGCGATTCAGCGGAAGTCGATCTCCTCCGGCACCGGAGTAGGTGGACGTCTCTAGCTTCACGACGTCATTCGTGGAGATACGCGAGGGAGTTGACACTCGCCGATTCGCATCGGCGAGCTCGCGTTCCATGAATTCTTGTGCCGCAACGCGCTGCTCGTCGGGCGTCGCTGAGCGCAGCAGCGACGTGACGACGGCTTCTCCGGACACCGCCGCAAGGCGGTGGAGAGCTTCCCACTCGATCCAAGTGAGATGGAGAAAGGCAGCGTGGTCGAGGTCTTGGCTCATGTCGAACTTGGTCGTTGGAAGGACTACGAGGTGCTACCAGGTGTAACGGGTCAGGTATTTACTCCGTTACTTGCTTACACTATAGTGTTGAGGAAGCTCGCAATAGGACGACTGAGTCTTAGGTTTAAGGAAAAATCAACTCTCACTTTATTTTAGGACCAAGGCCACAGCCCTGGCCACTCAAATACACGTCACAGTCCAATTGGCTAATAATGGGTATGGCTCCCCATATATCAGCCAATGGCATGACAGCATTTCAGCACACGCTAGTCGTGTGCTGATGCACCTACTTTTGTAAAGAAATCTACCTACTTATGTAATGGAGGGGCCCATTACAGACATGGTCCCGAAGGAAGCAGGTGGTTCGTGTTGTGCTGAACAAGGTTCAGGCACAAGCGTCTCGATAGACGCATAGTACAACTTGCTCGATGAGCATGATCCAAATGTGGATGCGCTGTAACAGCGAAAGTGGTGTCCCGGACGGGGATCGAACCACTGGCCTTTGGCTTGACAGACCGGAGCTCGAGAGCCATCCGTAGCACTCTATTTTTTTAACGAACACAAAAAATAGGATGACTAGCGCCACAGACACAGAAAGGCTCACCAATAGAAAGAGCAGTACACCACACCAAAAATAAGTGTCGTTTCACAAATATCTTTTCTATCCACAAATAGATATCGTTAGCCACTACTATTAAAATAGCTAAGAGCTTAGCCTCGAGCGCCTCGTCCTGTCCTGTCTTTCGCAAGCGAAGGTTCAACACGTCGTGGTGTAATTCAGTCGTGGAGGGTGCGAAGGAGCCAACCCCGCCGTCAATAATCAACCGAACTCGACCACGTCCACGTACGCGAGTCAGTGAAGACTTGGCAAGTGAAGCCGCTACTGGAACTACTGCTGCTGCAGCCGATACTACTAAAGCTGGTGACAAGAAGACAAACGAGTTAGAAAAAGACAACCAGGCTGTGGCGACCAAGAAAGACGCTGTTCAAACACCTCAACGTCCAGTTCAAGCGGTTCAAATCCTTTCTACAACGTTGGCAGGAAGAGCTGCTCCTGCTGCGACGAATGCCGTGCGGAAGTCGTGCAGTTCTATGTATTCGCATTCTACGTCCTGTTGTGGCTGGTCAGCTCTGGCCTCCGATCCGTGCCCAAGCGTGTCGAGATGACGTCGAGCAGTATCGGGATCTCCCTTCAGCAGAGTCAGCAGTCTCCTCAACGCTGAGCGTTGGTGCACACTGGCGCCAACTCTTTCATCGTGAATGGCATCAGGCTCGATAGCTTCTCCGTGGCGGTCGTTGAGCTCGTTTATGAATGTGCTGGACCTACCAAAGACCTTTCCCCCGTCCGAGACAGTCGTGGCAAAGTTCAAGCCGACCCCCGTAGTCACTGCGTACGAGTACCTGGTGACAGTCGTGCCCTGTACTAGATCCAGTTTCATTTGGTCGATGCTGTCAGTCTGCGCCTTCGTCAAATGCTGCATATTTGGGTTCACTAGAGGAGTCAATGAACCATTGCGGAGCTGGCCATCAAGAATCACAAGTATGTGAAAAGCTGCACCGAGCTGTACATGGCCAATAAGCGCATCGACTAAATTGCGCACTTCGATACTTTCGTCAACCTCGAGCTGCGGATCAATGACAGCCAGGTATGTCATCTGTGCAGTAGCATCTCAACTTAAGATTCTTTCTTTGACGACCTGCCAGATTCAGGAGCTTGACGGACTGGACGGTTGCTCTGTCTCAAGCAGATCTACGCTCACAACAACTGCATCCGGTACGTCAAAGTGCACCTTGTCGACTTGCTTTCCTTGATAAACAAGTGTACTTCTGGTCCTATAACCAGCTTGCTTGAAGGTTCACCGCAACTACTACGCTACGACCGCAAGGCTGATGAGGCTGCAGCCTCGACCGAGGAAGTGTTATAATAGCTCCAATATTCCGTCCAACATATCAATCTCCTCACTTACTAAATTCAAACATTCCTATTCTTTTGCATTTTTGTTTAGTATTATCCAGGTCGTGGCCGTCCCCTTTGTCGCTCGTTTGGTTTGCAGTTCATCGGGCAAATTGTAGTCTTGATACGTCTCGGTGGGCGTATGATTAGATCTGCAGGAAGATCTACTTAATTAAGTCGTTGACGACAAAGAAAGTCGGACCATGTTGAACACAACCTCCACTCCGTCCCTCATCTTGTTGTCATTGTCGGCTGCAATTGCAGCCGACGGCCGTGATGCAGCCAACAGCAGATTCATCCAGTTTTTTCGGACGAAGCTATTCGAACCGAGCTGCCACCAACAGTTGAACCTTTAAATTCAGTACGGCCACACGTGGACAATGCTTCCATACAATACATTTACATTTAATCCGCAAATGCTGTTCTTCAGCGGTTGAAGATAGCGACGTTCTTTCCGTTCTAAGTCACAACTACACATATAGGGATCTAAGTGCCATTCCTAATGTAGTTGCGATTGTATGACACTGAGCTATCTCAGTGAACGTAGTGTTTTTATCGTTTGAGTTGGTGTGAAGTTCCTTCACATCTTGCATGTGTTCGTTTTTAAAGCGATACACTACCATACAGATGGTGCTTGTAATCCGCCACCATTCTGGTGCTGCTGCCCCCTCATCGTGGGTTTACTCATACACTAACGTGTGTGAAGTCACTTCATTAGTGTTTTGGTCTGCTCCTCACCGGAGCTCTACCATTGAGCTATAAGGGCGATACCCGTACGCCAGTCCGAGAACGGACTACTCATGGAACGAGAGGGCTGTGCCCTGGTGGGTTCGAACCCCCGACTTGTGGCTTCTAAAGCCAGCGCTCGACCACTGAGCTGAAAGGGCGTTGCCCTTAAGCTTGTCCATTCAAGGACAACAGAACTTGGAACGAGAGGGCTGTGCCCTGGTGGGCTCGAACCCCCGACCTGTGGCTTCTAAAGCCAACGCTCGACCACTGAGCTAAAAGCGGATTGCTCTTAAGCTTGTCCAAGCGTGAGCAATCGTTCATAGAACGAGAGGGCTGTGCCCTAGTGGGTTCGAACCACCGACCTATCGCTTGTGAAGCGAGTGTTCAACCGCTGAGCTGTTGTCGACGACTCGAATGAGTCAAGAGCATTGCTCTAAGCGGTTTGCAACTCTTGGAGTAGGCGCGGAGCGCGAGCGTAGGTCTGAGACCGCTTGAGAGCAAGATGCGCGCTGCGTTTGGAGCATTGGGCCGTGGGCCGACGACGAGAAGTTGGGCATCAAACGATGCGTAGGCGTTTGTGAGCTCACGGAGCTGTACAACGCTGGTGTGAGGTGTAGTAACCTCCGCCGTCTTAACAAGGCGTGACCTCGCTGAGGAGAGTTTCGAGAACCGAATGTTCTCATCTTAGTGGGGGAGAGTGTAACGGGGTTACATGGTGTGGAACACACAGGGGTACGAAGTACCGGGAGAGTTAACAAACTCTCAGTACATAAGTTGGAGAGTTAACAAGGTCTTTCAGTACGTTGGCCGAAAGCCACACGTTATGCATTTGATTAGGTTTAACTATGCTAGATAGTTGATAGATACATTTACCCCTAGGCGGCTTGGCCGCAATAATAGTAAATAAAGCACTTCTGGTTTTGAAGCATAAAAGTTAAGGTATTAGCTTTGAGCCCTGGTCTTGGGCTGTAAGTGTCCTTTGATAAGGAACTTAGTATTAGTGACTCTTTGAGTCGAACGTCTTCCTCTGACGCTAAAGCTACGGCAGCCCCGCTGCAGCCACCATCAAAACATCCTCGGAGTCGTCATATACTTCGACGACTCCCAAGCATCTGCCGAATGCTTTGGTACCCTGGGAGCCCTTGCGGGCGCCCCGGGTCCTGACAGAGGTGGGAACATGACTCACCAATGCTCTGTCGGACTGCGCAGGGCGACTGGCACCGATTGCCTTGCCTCGCCAGTCGATCCAGGGCTCATGCTTCTCAAGCCAGGGCATGCTCAGGATCATATCACATCGATCCATATCGAGAACAGTGAACTGTTCGATGCTGTCAAAGTCTTCAAACTTGACGGCCAGATCCACTTGGATATTGGGTACAGTGACGACCTTCCCGTCGACCAGTCGCACTGACACCGTCCCGTTGCCCTTGCTTTCTCTCAAAGCATCGGACAACTTGTTGCTATTACGAGCAACTGTCTGGCGGCGTGTGAAATTCTTCGACGCCCCAGAATCGATCAAGATTCTAAAGGAATGATCGTATCCCCGTACACGACCGTGTACTACGAGCAACCCGTCGCTGCTCTTTGCCGATTCGAGAGTGCGAAGACTCTCAGGGGCTAAGTCCCCGTGGTACGCGCCACCCGCGCACCCATCACGAAGACTTAGTTCTTTCCCAGTAGGGCGCCCCGCCCCTACTGGTTTCCGGCGTTCCCCTGTCCCCGGGATCCTGGCTTCTGCCAGCGACCCTTGAGGACGGGCTTGGGGAAAAGCCATCTGCGGAGTCTTTCCGCGGAACAGTCGCGCTTGAAGTAGCCCATCTTCCCGCAGCCGAAGCAGCGGATGTCACGCTGTTCGGCGGACCCGAGTTCCATGGGAACTGGTCCGTTGGGGCTCGTTCGACCGGGAGTCAACATGGAACTCCCAGGCCACGCTGAGGCCGACGTACGCGCCTGGAGATGGCTGTACTCTTCCTGAAGAGCCACTTGAATCGCCTCTTCAAGGGTGTTTGACTGCACCCGGAACAAAATCGAAAGTCTTCGTCCGGGCACGTGTCAAGCTTGAAGCGGACGTTTGGAATTAGAGAACGCTCTACTGACTCCACTGAGTATCATGACACACACATCCTCTGCACTGTCTAACTCGTCAAGTAGCAGTCTCGTCGGCACCAGCGAAAAACTTCCCGATGTTCTCGCCGCCATAATTTGGCTTATGAATCAAAATATAAAAACCTCTTGAAGATCTAATTATAAATCTGATGAGTCATTTATACATTTAAAAGGGTTCAAATGAAACTTTTTTACTTTGCAGCTTGTAGATTGCACGATACAGTAGTTCCTGCAACCTACAACGTGCATACCACCCGAAATGATTCTAATGTAAAACTCGCTGTACAGTACCCATTTCCGACCTAGACACAGCATTTCAGTACTCGCACTGCTCGCGACGAGGCATTTGTTGGCTCGTCGTCTCATTGAGATCTCACCTCCAAGTTGAAAGATTCGATTTTAAGGATAACTTGTACATAAATTAAATTGAAATGAACCTCCACGTTTCACAAAAATGCTCTAAAAATGAATGACTAATTCGATAAGCATTTAAACGTAAATATTTTTAGTAGCATTTCGAAATTACATTTACTGTACTACATGTACCCGTGTTGCCTTCAGTTCACGCCAACCGTTGGCGGAGCACCACTTTCTTTCATATCCAAGACTGACAAGATGGTTCTGGTACGATTCGTTTGTGCTACCAATGACTCCTCCAATGCATAGCTAACCCGTGTTTCGCTTTCGCCGAGTAGAAGCTCTACACGTACCCTGGCAACTACCGCGCCTTCAAGGCGCTGATCGCCGCCGAGTTCAACGGCGTTGACATTGAGCTGCCGGAGTTCGACTTCGCCAAGGACGTCAAGACCAAGGAGTTCAAGGCCAAGACCCCCGCTGGCAAGGTGCCTCTTCTGGAGACGGACGAGGGCTGCATCTTCGAGAGCGGTGCCATCGCCAAGTACGTTGCTCGCCTCCGTGCCGACACTGGCCTGTACGGCAAGACTTTCTTCGAGTCCGGCCAGGTTGACGCCTGGATCGACTTCTCCGCCTATGAGCTTGAGATCCCTCTTGAGGCCTGGCTGTACCCGATTCTGGGCTGGGGCCAGTTCAATGCTGCCGCCCTCACCAAGGCCAAGGCTGACGTGAAGAAGGCTCTACAGACCCTCGAGAACCACCTGCACCTGCGCACCTACCTCGTGGGTGAGCAGATCACTCTTGCCGACATCTTCATTGCCTCGGCTCTAGTGTACCCGTTCAAGTTTGTGCTGGACAAGGAGTTCCGCAAGCCGTACTCGGCCGTGAACCGTTGGTTCTCGACGCTGGTGAACCAGCCGGAGTTCCAGGCTGTTGTCGGTGACGTGCCGCTCATCGACGTGGCTCTGACCGCTGAAGGCGACAACTCTGGCAAGAAGGCCGCCAAGAAGGACGCCCCCAAGAAGGAGAAGGCTGCCCCGAAGGAGGAGGCCCCCAAGCCCAAGAAGGTGGAGCACCCGCTTGCCGTGCTGAACCGTGAGAAGCCCTCGTCGCTGAACCTGGACGCCTGGAAGGTGCAGTACTCGAACACCAGGAACCTGGCCGACGCCATGACGTGGTTCTGGGAGCACCTGGACACAGAGGGCTACTCTTTGTGGTTCTGCGACTACAACTACAACAACGAGAACACCAAGATGTTCATGACGTGCAACGCCGTTGGTGGCTTCTTGCAGCGTTCGGAAGCCATGCGCAAGTACGCGTTCGGTGTGATGGACGTGTGCGGTGCCGAGGGCTCCGAGATCATCATCACGGGCTGCTGGCTGTTCCGTGGTGACTCGGAGAAGCACATGATCGAGGCCAACCCGGACGCCGAGTACTACACGTGGAAGAAGGCGGAGCTGAACGATGAGACGAAGGCTCGCGTTGCTGCCTACTGGTGCAACGAGGACGAGCTGGAGGGCAAGCCCATCGCTGACTCTAAGGTCTTCAAGTAAGCGGCGTCTCGCTGTCATGCGTCAAGTGTCGATGAGCTTTAGTCTGCACTAGTTCGGCCATTGTCGTCATTAACTTGGAAATAAATGAAAGGAAACAATATTAAACACATAGATACATGTACTAGTACTCATCGTCATCCTGCAGCAAAAAGGTAAAATGAAAGTGTCGGACAACCTTCATGTGAGTCTTAAAAACCTCGTGGTTTATCTGCCCGAGGTTTTTTGTCGATGGGCGGGCGGGTTCCCCCGCAGCTCACTTGTGAAGTTGCGTCCCAGCCCGCACAGGGAGGAGACAGAAGCTTGTATAGGTCGCTGCCTTGTGTGCCTCGTAGTAACGCTCAGAGGTGAGGGAGCATCGCACCGCCGAGCCCAAGTGACGGAGCAGCGTTTTCGACCCACCAACAGACTCAGTCGACGGACTTAACAGCGCCGCGTCCTGCCTAAAGTCGTCTAATCGAGGGCTATTTCCGCTAGATCCGGCAGGACACGTCCATCAGATCATAGAGAACCATGGGCGATTTCCCACCGCCCGAGCGTACCAGCGTCAAGGCGTCCGAACTCGTCCATCGTGCCGTGGATAAGAGCTATGAGGACTTCCGCACGCTCATGCACCAGCTTCCCACGATGCGCGAGGAGGAGCGTCGTGAGCCGCTGCTGTCGCATTTACAAAGCTCCCGCAAGCGGTTTGCACAGCTGCTTGCCGTGCTCAAGTGGTCAGTGCAGTCACCACTGCTGCAGCAGTGCGACACGCTACTACAACAGACCGAGACGTACCGTAACAATGTGAACGAGACCAACGACCGATTATTCTTTATGCACGCGGATCTTAACCGCGCCAAGGAGCGTCAGTACGACCTCAGTACAGCCGTAGACGTGCTCTATGGAGGCAGCTATCTGCGTCTCCCTACCATCATCAAGAACGCCATGTTCCCGCGAGAGTTACCCGGAGTGGATACAGAGCAGGCGGCTACAAAGGTGGCGGACATCATCCGCTTTCGTCTTATTGAGGCGGAGATCCCAGAGCAGTTTTCCAACATTAAGCTGGAGGGAGGCTTCGTCACGTGCCAAGCAGAAGGCGAGTTTGAGATTGTTCTAACCATTCAGGGCAAGGAGAAGGACGCGAAGTGGAGAGTTATCAGTGTGAACACGGCGCTTACAGATGCGCAGGCGTTTGAGAACCATTCGCAAGCAGCATCAACTAGCGCGCTACGCATTATTCGAACGAATGCACCAAACGCAGCGCACTACAATCACTTGAAGAATCTTGTGCAGCGAGCCATGAACAAGTCGGAGAAACCGTTCGTGGATGCATTCATGGTGATGCGAGAGTTCTGTTCGTCCTTGGCACTGCAGATCTTGGCGTCGCAGGGAAAATTACTGATGGAAGGCCGCTGGAAAAACCGCATCATGATTAAACATCTCCGAGACCAGAATATTTTGGATATCTGCTACTGGCCCAAGGCTTGTGTACGGAAGGAGGCGCAGGCGCTAACGGAGCAGCAGCGATTGATCCAACAATTAAGTGACCCGGTAGCAACAGCTCGAAAAGGCTCCGCGCTGCCGTATCCCGAGTCGAGTTTGTGTGTTCGACTGGGCTTCGACCCGAACAAGAAGAAGCTTCTCTCCGTTAGTCTTAGTCCGTCGCTTCCGCCGAATCTTCCGGGGTATGCAGCATTACTGAACGCACTGGAGGTGCCGTCCAACATGTTCCTGTTGAGTGCAGAGAACCTGCTGATTGCGGCAATGCGAGCTCACGTGTCCGCTGCTCTGTTCTCTATAGGAAGACTGCTTGTAGTTGACTCTCCGGATGAAAAGGCTTCCACGCAGCTGGTTTCTGGAGAAGATGTGGCGATGGTCTGCTCGGATACGAGTTTACGGATGGCACGCGCAGATATTGGAGGGCTGCAGCAGTTTCTAGAGGTGACATTTGACATCCGTGAGGGGCGATTTATTGTGAGCTCCGTCGCGGCGGCGAAACATTCGGCGCTTTACATCACGGTGAAGCAACTGGAACGGATACTGAATACGCAATGCAAAATTGAGCTTGGGGGAACTGTGGATAAGTCGTTCCCGAATGACTTTGCGCTGGTTTCTGGCGATGGGAAAGGTGACAAGTCGAACGAGTTGATTCACACGAGCGTGCGGAAGGCTTTGTGCGAGATCGTGGCAGATGAAGTGGCTCAAATCGGGTCTTTTTTCAAAGGGATTGAAGTTCTGCGTAGTGTTACCTTGAACTGGGAGCGGTATCTCGCTTTCCGACAGCAGCATGGCGGACAGACTGAAGACCTGTCGATCTCAGATACAGCGCTGTATTTCCAGCTTACATCCTCGAAGGAATGTACGTGTTACATGGTCATCGAGATCGACAAGTACAGCGAGGTGGATGGCATGAACGGAAATGTGCATGAAGCTGCAGAAGCGGAGGAATACGTACGATTACCATGCTTCTCGCTACTGCAAACCAATGCAGGCTTGCCGGGACAGCCGTCAGGTGTGCAGTTTATCCAGCGATTTGGTGCTTTCAAGAAGGAAGACTTGCATCCATCCGTCACTCGACACAACGAGATTATTGTAAATGGCCTTCGTGGCAGTAGTCGAAAGCGTCCGCACAGTTCGAATGGCAATTCAACGGCTGGAAGAAACGGGAGGTCGACGAAAAAGGCGCTGCTGGAGAATGGGCGAGTACAAGAAAGCACTGGCTACTGGCTGGATGACGCCGAGCACCAAGCAGTCTCTCGCATTTTTGTTCCGCACATCGCGTCTGTGTTGCTGCATGCGATCAACATGTGCAGCGAGAGAATTCAGCTACAACACTTCGTTAACTTTGCTCGACGACGCAAATCGAGGATTCGTTACTCCGGTGAAGCTGGTACGGCGAACAGCGAGGGCACAGGCGGTCAGGTGGTCACGCTCTCGTTCCCTGAGAAGGTCAACACAGATCCATTGAAGATCGTTGCTATTCAAGGCCACTTAAAACATGGTGGAGGGTTCGAGCTGTGTCTTCAACTGGCTTCGCCTCCTTTCACGTTCATTCTGCCGAAGAAACCGAAAGACCATTTGTTGTCGGAGCGTTCGCACTATGTCAATGAGCGAGGCCAGTTGATTTTTAGATACACTACGACGATGGTTACGAGCGAGCTATTCAGTGAATCCCCACTGGAAATGTTCATGGTCGAGCTGATCTGCGTCGTGAGACCTCTCTGTGAACTCGCTGTGAAGCTTGAGAAGATGCTGACTGCTGTGGGGCGCTACACGAATGACATTAACGACGACGGTCACTTTTACGTGGAAAGCGCCGACCCGTTTGCCATTGTCTTGGCCTGTCGAGCGCCCAATCCGAGACACTGCATTGCTGCTGGCTCATCACCCGATGGGCTGACGACGTATCGTGTGACGGTGCAGTTCAAGCAGAAAATGGGCTTCGTGGTAAACTACAGTCACAAAGGTGAGCATCCCTTGATGCATTTCATCCAGTCAGCACTAAATGGACACGGCGACCCGGCACAATTCATCGAGGCTTTGGAACGCACATGTGTCCCCATGGGCATATTGGCGAGTGTTGTGGAGTCCCAGTTGCTGTGCGCCAAGTACTACCGTCAGGACCCTCCGCCCAACGCGAAAGAAGGCGCAGCAAATGGAGGTCCCAAGGGCTTCGGTCGAGGTAAATTGGGCGGGAAGGGGATGAAGCTTGGCTACAAGTTTAAGCTTCCAGGAGAAGAGAAGGGATATTACGCTGAAAAGTCAATTGGAGGAGATGACAAGTCCTTCGTGCCTGCCGAACTGGTGATGATCCCGCGGTCGCAAACACAGGTCCGACTGTCGTATGGAGACCGCTGCGCCGTAGATATTTATTTCCTGGAGGTACGACTCAATGCTTTATGATGGCTACAATGGCTTTACTAACGTCTGGTTTGTTTTGTATTTTTCAGAATCACTCGGTGAAAATGCAGAGCTCGTCAGGAGGTGTTCGTGTTCCGAGCTGTCCGTCTGAGAAAGGCATCGTCATGGACTGTCAGAATTTTGCTGAGAAGTTGCGCAGCACGTTGTCGGAGATGGCATCGGCTTAAAATGGACGTATATAGCTCTTGCGCTGGCAGGTAACTGTGGCGAAGCTGCAGTTCGCCGAGCACTTAGGATAGATGGAGAGCGAGGAGGAAGGTGCAACAGGCAGTCAAACCTGCGCCGGCAGAATTGGTGATAGATAATAGGACATGCAGCGAAGAAGAAGAAAAGCTGCCGCGGAGAAGAGAATATGCCGTTCAAGCAGTGACGTCTATCGCGCTTGTACGGAATAGATCTGAGCAAAATAATATGACGGCGACGGCATCGCTCCTCAAGTTGAAGGTGTAGCCATGTTGCCTCGCACTTAGCGCAGTGTTCAACGCCACGTGTCAGTTCATCGCTTCCTTAGTGAAATAAAGTCAAAATGTTTAAAACGTCACTGTGGAGATCCCAGGATCCACGCACTTCATTCGCGCTTTGGACGACTAGGGACGAAGAGAGCGACGGTAACAATGGGTGTGTGGAAGCTCGCGGTTTCGATGGCGGCGATGGCGCTGGGCGTCGTGACGGCTGGTGACGTGAAGGTGCTGACGCCCGACAACTTCGATGAGGTCGTGGACGGCTCCAAGCACGTGCTCATTAAGTTCTACGCGCCGTGGTGCGGCCACTGCAAGAGCATGGCCCCCACTTACGAGACGGTGGCCACGGCCTTTAAGAAGGCAGACAACGTGGTTGTGGCTGAGGTGGACGCCGATAGCCACAAGGAGTTGGGATCCAAGTACGGCGTTACGGGTTTCCCCACTCTCAAGTACTTCGCTAAGGGCTCCACCGAGCCTGAGGACTACAAGGGCGGCCGCAGCGAGGACGATTTCGTCAACTTTTTGAACGAAAAGGCTGACACGAACGTGCGTGTGGCTAAGGCCCCGAGCTACGTGGCTGCTCTGACCGAGGCGGACTTCGATGCCGAGGTTATCCACTCCAAGAAACACGCTATCGTCGAGTTCTACGCCCCGTGGTGCGGCCACTGCAAGCAGCTGGCTCCGACCTACGAGGAGGTGGGTGCCATCTTCGAGGGAGAGGACAATGTGCTCATTGCCAAGGTGGATGCTACTGCCAACGCGGAAGTGGCCAGTCGCTACAACGTCAAGGGTTACCCTACGCTCTTCTACTTCCCTCCTGGCTCGGACGAACCTGAGGACTACTCGAACGGCCGCGACAAGGCCTCGTTCGTTGAGTTTATTAACGAGCACGCTGGCACGCACCGTACGGTGGACGGAGAACTCACGGCCGAGGCTGGTCGCGTGGAGGAGATTGACGTGATCATCTCGGAGAGCGGCGACATCACGACTGACGTGCAGAAGAAGGTGCAGACTGTTGTCGATGGCCTCGAGGGCAGCGACGCCAAGTACGGCTCGCTGTATGTCAAGGCCATCAAGAAGATCGTTGCCAAGGGCCCATCGTACGTGGACGCCGAGATCAAGCGTCTCGAAGGTCTGCTAGACAACGACAACGTGTCGCCTCAGAAGAAGACGCTGTTTGGTCTCCGCAAGAACATCCTCCAATTCTTCCACGAGAAGCAGAACGAGAAGACCGAGCTGTAAGCTCACCGTCGCATGTTGTAGGATGCACAGAAGCGCTAGAATGTCAACGGTTCTCCTTGTTTTTCTATTGCCACTTTAGGTGCAACTATGCAATAAAGAAAACAAAGAAGAAAAACAAAAGCTGGTTATACTTCGAGGTAAATTTTAATCCACGTAGCGTGTGGCATGGTGGACACCGAGCTCCTCGGGGGAAACGTCCGATCCGTTCTGGTCTTCCTCGATTAAGTTCATCTCTTCGTTCTGTGCAATGCATGAGGTTATCAGTATCCAGACAACGAAGAATCTGTATCGCAAGAACTGTATCGCTACAACCTACCGCGCGTACGAGCGTCTCCTTGCGCACATCGTTCTCCAGGTACTGCACGATCTCCTCGAAAGTAGGACGCACCGACTGGTCGTCGGCCGTGCAGCGTTTGTACAGGTCGCGTACGCTGTCCATGCAGGTCTTGCTCAGCGATGGACGTAAGTTCTCGTACGCCACCATGTGCATCAGCGTGCTGCCCGACACCTTCTTGTTACGGGCTCCCTTGGCTTTTATGTCGTGGTACGGAATCTTGCGAGTATCCAACTCAGCCAGCACTATAGGTAGGATAGCAGTCAGTCAAGATGCAACAAGAGTACGAGGGCCTCAGATCAACGGTACCAATGCCGAAGCTGTACACGTCCGCCTTCTCCGTGTACCGCTCTCCGCGGATCATCTCGGGTGGCAGCCATAGCGGCGTGCCGGTCACGCTCATCGTCTCGTCCACAGACTTTTCACGGCTTAGACCGAAGTCGCTCACCTTGGCGCCCCACGTCGAGCTGCAACACAGTTACAAACAAACACAGCCATGTTAGAGCGGGACACTCATTTTGGCAGAAAGAGCCAACTGTGTCGAGTGTTACCTAACGAGAATGTTCATGCTCTTGAGGTCGCGATGGATGATCGGAGGTTTCATACTGTGCAGATACGCCATGCCGCGCGAGGTGTCGATGGTCATGCGCAGAATAGGCTTAGCCCAGGTCATCTTGTTCTCCGGGTTCCGTAGCACTGCGAACAGGTCTCCTCGTTCCAGGAACTCCGTCACAAAGCAACTGAAAAAATCAAACACAATAACAAGTGAGTTTCTAGTTTCCGACAATCTCAAGTGTCTCCATTGTTGCACGTACATGTTAGAGTACGAGTTCCAACTGGCGCCGATGAATTGCACGATGTTGGGGTGGCGTAAATTCATCATGAGCTGGATCTCGTCACCAAACATGCGCAGATTGTCTTCTGTAATCTTGTTACGCAGCATACGCTTGACCACGACGGGTGTACCGCAGTACGTGCCCTTAATGACCTCCCCGAAGGCGCCGGCACCGATGATCTTCTGCAGCTTAAGGTCGTTGAAATTAATCTCGGCCATGCGCAGACCTTTGTTGCTCTCGAGCATAGTCTCCACCACATTCTTCTCCTTGTCCTTGAACTCCTGGAAGTCCACCGTGTTGTTGTTGGGCCGCCGGTTCGACCGCTCTGGCGCTGGCTCGGCTGCTGATCGTCCGCCGCGCCTCGAGCTGCCACCGTCCCCACGCTGGGTGCTGCTGCGGCCATTGGGCACAGGTCCGGGCTGGTTGTCGTGCGCGACGTAGTCCTTGGGGTCCTTGGATGAACACCCGCCCATTGTCAATGGATTATTAGCTTATTGACGACGGCGCTGTATTGAGGCGGGAATGCCGCGACTTGGGAAATGCCTCCGCCTGCCTCTTACCAAGGTGCGGTCATATGGTACGATTGTATGAATTTTTGTATGCCTCAGACGTTATTGGGCCTCGTCTGAACTCTTAGGTTCACTTGGTGTGCCACGATCTGATAGCTCGGTCGATGGCTACACAAAATCCGCAATTGAATCAGGCACGAAACGTTTCAGATGTATCTCGTTTAGACCACGACACGACACACGCTACGGCGCTAGAGGGCCAGCGGTCAGCGCGGCGCTGAGCTTTCGAACGTCCAATCCTTCGGCACGCGCTTGTTCTAGCAGCGCCACCACGTCTGTCTTTATGCTGGCTGCACGGGCTTTCTCCCGCTCCTCGTCCAGACTCGACACCGCCAGCTTCGCAATAACGTGAATGAGAAACAAGAACGACTAAGCTATTACAATATAATTATAGTAAAGGTAGGAGCGCACCATCTCGACCAGCAATTGGCACTTGAACTTCTCCATGTTGGACTCCTCTGTCATTCGCGTGCATTTATCCCGAAGCTGCGCGTTCTCGGCTTCTAGTGCGGCGGTGCGCTCTTCCAGTATTTGGACTCGCTCTTTAGTTTGCTGCAACATGGTGTGATCTGCAGCAAAAACAATATTCATGATAATGCACCAGATCACCAAATGTATCAGCATTGGAGTTTTCACCATCAGTTAAAGCTCACAGAACGTACCCAGCTCCCATTGTCCCGAAGCACCAAGCGACAGCGTTGCAGCGCCCAGCGTCAGTCGGATAGGAATCTCTCGGTCCACCGCTTTCAACTCCTCCTCAGACGGGCGCGGGGTCCGTGTTCTCGTTGCCGTCGCTGCTGTCGGACTCGCCATTTTAACAGCGACTTGTGATCTGATTCCTTCTGACAGATTCTTTCTAAATCAGTACCTTACCCAATAGCATAGCGATCCAAAGTATTCCATCACATAGTTCATCACCCCCAACGTGTGCCACCCATACAAAAGCGACGCTAAAAGTTGCGCGGGCAAGTCACGAGTCGATGCCGCCGCCGGGAGACGTCGACGTGGACATGACGGGCGCTGCGCCCGTGCCTAACGGACACAGCAATGGCATCGGCCTGCACGCGGCCCCATCCCCGGCCTTCCTGACGCCCGATGAGAAGCAGAAGATGCTTGAAGAGCGCAGTCGCCGCTGGAACAAGATGAACGCCAAGCGCTACGGCGAGAAGCGCAAGTTCGGCTTCGTGGAGAGCGTCAAGGACGACATGCCGCCCGAACATGTACGCAAGATCATCAAAGACCATGGAGACATGAGCAGCAAGAAGTTCCGCCACGATAAGCGCGTGTATCTTGGAGCACTGAAATACGTGCCACACGCCATTTTTAAGTTGCTGGAGAACATGCCTATGCCCTGGGAACAGGTCAAAGACGTGAAAGTACTGTACCATATCACAGGCGCCATCACCTTCGTGAACGAGATCCCGTGGGTCATCGAGCCCGTGTACATCGCCCAATGGGGCACCATGTGGATCATGATGCGTCGTGAGAAACGTGACCGTCGCCACTTCAAGCGCATGCGCTTCCCTCCTTTCGACGACGAGGAACCTCCTCTTGACTATGGCGACAATATCTTGGACATTGAGCCCGCAGAGAGCATCACCATGGAGCTGGACGAAGAGGACGACGAAGCTGTGATTGAGTGGCTGTACGACTCCAAGCCTCTTGTGGACTCCAAGTTCGTCAATGGACCGAGCTACCGCAAGTGGCGTCTGCCTGTGCCTATTATGGCAAACTTGCATCGTCTTGCAGGGCAATTGATGAGCGACTTGATCGACCCCAACTACGAGTATCTGTTTGATAAAAAGTCGTTCTTTACCGCCAAAGCGCTGAATGTGGCGATCCCCGGTGGCCCCAAGTTTGAGCCGCTGTATCGTGATCTGGACGAGGACGACGAGGACTGGAACGAGTTCAACGACATCAACAAGATCATTATCCGTCATCAGATCCGCACTGAGTACAAGGTGGCCTTCCCGTTCTTGTACAACAGTCGACCGCGATCGGTGCACATCCAGCCGTATCATACGCCTGTGTTGTGCTACATTAAGGCTGAAGATCCCGATCTCCCGGCGTTCTACTTTGACCCCATTGTGAACCCGATCTCGCACTTCCGAGTGAATCGATCGGACAAGGACAAGACAATTGACGAGGAAGAAGACGATGAAGACGACGAATTCCAGTTGCCCATGGGATTCGACCCACTGCTGACGGACGAACCGCTGTACACGCCAGAGACAGCGAACGGTATCGCTTTGTACTGGGCTCCAAGACCGTTTAACCTGCGTACAGGTCGTACCCGACGTGCTATCGACGTGCCGCTGGTGAACAAGTGGTTCCAGGAGCACTGTCCTCAAGGTCAGCCCGTCAAGGTGCGTGTCAGCTACCAGAAACTGCTGAAGTGCTGGGTGTTGAACTCGCTACATCATCGCCCTCCCAAGGCGCTGAATAAACGCTACCTGTTCAAGTCATTGAAGTCGACAAAGTTCTTTCAGAGCACCGAGTTGGACTGGGTCGAAGCGGGCTTGCAAGTGTGTCGTCAAGGTTACAATATGCTGAACCTGTTGATTCACCGCAAGAATTTGAACTATCTCCACTTGGATTACAACTTCAATCTCAAGCCGATCAAGACGCTGACGACCAAGGAGCGGAAAAAGTCGCGATTCGGTAATGCCTTCCACTTGACGCGAGAGATTCTGCGTCTCACGAAGCTGATTGTGGATGCACACGTCCAATATCGCTTGGGCAACGTGGACGCCTTCCAGCTTGCCGATGGCTTGCAGTATATTTTCGCCCACGTTGGTCAACTGACGGGTATGTACAGATACAAGTACCGTCTTATGCGTCAAGTGCGCATGTGCAAGGACTTGAAGCACTTGATCTACTATCGATTCAACACTGGACCGGTGGGTAAGGGCCCTGGATGTGGCTTCTGGGCTCCTGGCTGGCGCGTGTGGCTATTCTTCTTGCGAGGTATTGTGCCGCTGCTTGAGCGATGGCTCGGAAACTTGTTGGCGCGTCAATTTGAAGGTCGTCACTCCAAGGGCATCGCGAAGACGGTCACGAAGCAGCGAGTGGAGAGTCACTTCGATCTCGAGCTGCGTGCAGCCGTGATGCACGACATCTTGGATATGATGCCCGAAGGTGTGAAGGTGAACAAGTCCCGGACAGTCATGTCACATCTCAGTGAAGCTTGGCGTTGGTACGTATCCGTTTCATCTGTAATCTTCACGTATATTTCTTGTGTTTTCTAATGATTTACTGCTATTTTGTGTGATTAGTTGGAAGGCGAACATCCCATGGAAGGTGCCGGGCTTACCTGCTCCCATTGAGAACATGATTCTTCGGTATGTGAAGTCCAAGGCAGATTGGTGGACCAATGTGGCGCACTACAATCGTGAGCGTATCAAACGCGGTGCTACTGTCGACAAGACGGTCTGTAAGAAGAACCTGGGTCGTCTGACGCGACTGTGGCTGAAGGCGGAACAAGAGCGTCAGCACAACTACCTCAAGGATGGTCCCTATGTGTCGGCGGAGGAAGCTGTCGCAGTGTACACGACCACTGTCCATTGGCTGGAAAGCCGCAAGTTTGCTCCCATTCCGTTCCCGCCGTTGTCGTACAAGCATGACACCAAGCTTCTCATTCTCGCACTGGAACGACTGAAGGAGATGTATACTGTGAACAACAGGTTGAACCAGACTCAGCGTGAAGAACTTGGTCTGATTGAACAAGCGTACGACAATCCTCACGAGGCCTTGTCGCGTATCAAGCGTCACATGCTGACGCAGCGTGCGTTCAAGGAATTGCAAATCGAGTTCATGGATCTGTACAGCTACTTGGTCCCTGTGTACCACATTGAACCGCTGGAGAAGATCACAGACGCATATCTGGACCAGTATTTGTGGTATGAAGCTGATAAACGCCACTTGTTCCCGTGCTGGATCAAGCCGAGCGACTCGGAACCACCGCCGCTGCTTGTGTACAAGTGGTGCCAGGGTGTGAACAACCTGCACAAGGTCTGGGACACGTCTGAAGAGGAATGTGTGGTGATGCTGGAGTCCAAGCTCGAGAAGGTGTACGAGAAGATCGACCTGACGTTGCTAAACCGACTGTTGCGCTTGATCTTGGACCACAACATCGCCGACTACATGACTGCGAAGAACAATATTGTGATCGCGTACAAGGATATGATGCACACGAACTCGTACGGTCTCATTCGTGGACTGCAGTTCGGGTCTTTTATCTTCCAGTACTACGGTCTGATTCTGGATCTGCTGTTGCTGGGGTTGACGCGAGCGACAGAGATCGCCGGGCCGCCCGAGCTTCCGAACGAATATCTATCGTTTAAGGACACGGCCACGGAGACTCGACACCCGATTCGCTTATACACGCGCTACGTTGACAAGATCTACGTGCTGTTTCGGTTCGACGCGGATGATTCTCGTGACTTAATCCAGCGATATTTGACGGAACATCCGGACCCGAACAACGAGAACGTCGTGGGCTACAACAACAAGAAGTGCTGGCCTCGTGATGCTCGTATGAGGCTGATGAAACACGACGTGAACCTCGGGAGAGCCACGTTCTGGGATATGAAGAACCGCCTACCACGATCGATGACGACGTTCGACTGGGACAACAGCTTCGTGTCTGTGTACTCGAAAGACAACCCGAACTTGCTGTTCAACATGTGTGGGTTCGAGGCGCGTATTCTGCCCAAGATTCGTGCTGTGGATGCCGAGTTCACACACAAGGATGGCGTGTGGATCCTGCAAAACGAGACCACCAAGGAGCGTACTGCGCAGGCTTATCTACGCGTCGATGACGAGTCTCTGCACGCGTTCGAGAACCGTATCCGACAGATTTTGATGTCTTCTGGTAGTACGACGTTCACAAAGGTGGCGAACAAGTGGAACTCTGCACTGATCGGTCTGATGACGTACTACCGCGAGTCTGTGGTTCAGACGCAGCAGCTGCTTGACCTCCTTGTGAAGTGCGAGAACAAGATCCAGACGCGTATCAAGATCGGTTTGAACTCCAAGATGCCGTCTCGATTCCCGCCTGTAGTGTTCTACACGCCCAAGGAGCTAGGCGGTCTGGGAATGCTGTCGATGGGTCACGTTCTGATCCCGCAATCAGATCTTCGCTACTCGAAGCAAACGGACGGTGGCGGAGTGACGCATTTCCGTTCGGGTATGTCCCACGAAGAAGACCAGTTGATCCCGAACTTATTCCGATACTTACAGCCGTGGGAGTCTGAGTTTATTGACTCGCAGCGTGTGTGGGCTGAATACGCCTTGAAGCGACAGGAAGCCAACGCGCAGAACCGCCGCTTGACTCTAGAGGACCTTGAAGATTCATGGGATCGTGGTATTCCTCGTATCAACACGTTGTTCCAGAAAGATCGCCACACTTTGGCGTACGACAAGGGTTGGCGTGTGCGTACACACTTCAATCGGTATCAGGTGCCACGCCACAACCCGTTCTGGTGGACGCATCAACGACATGACGGCAAGTTGTGGAACCTTAACAACTACCGAACGGATATGATTCAAGCTCTGGGTGGCGTTGAAGGTATTCTGGAACACACGCTCTTCAAGGGCACGTACTTCCCCACCTGGGAAGGACTGTTCTGGGAGAAGGCTTCTGGTTTCGAAGAGAGTATGAAGTACAAGAAGCTGACGAATGCGCAGCGATCCGGTCTGAACCAGATCCCCAATCGTCGATTCACGCTGTGGTGGTCGCCGACGATCAACCGCGCCAATGTGTATGTTGGTTTCCAAGTGCAGTTGGATCTGACGGGTATCTTCATGCACGGCAAGATCCCGACGCTCAAGATCTCCCTCATCCAGATCTTCCGCGCTCACTTGTGGCAGAAGATTCACGAGTCTCTCGTCATGGATTTAGGTTCGTTAGTGTGTGGCTATTGTGATGTCTTATTGTGGTTCAGGATGCTAATTTTGTTATTTGTGGTGTTTGTTGTTGCTGTGCAGTTCAAGGTGCGCTGAAGATACACCAAGCATTGCTATTCCTCGCTTCATAGTGCTAACATTAATTTGTTGTATTGTTTTTCAGTGTTTGACCAGGAGCTGGATGCATTGGAGATTGAGAACGTGCAGAAGGAGACAATCCACCCGCGTAAATCATACAAGATGAACTCTTCATGCGCGGATGTTCTTCTTTTCGCGGCGTACAAGTGGCAGATGGGACGCCCGACGTTACTGCACGACACAAAGGACAGCTACGATGGCTCAACGAGCACAAAGTACTGGATCGATGTGCAGCTTCGCTGGGGCGACTTCGACTCGCACGACATCGAGCGATATGCGCGTGCCAAGTTCCTGGATTACACGACAGACAACATGACGATCTATCCGTCACCGACAGGTGTGCTGCTTGCCGTGGACCTCGCCTATAACTTGTACAGTGGCTACGGAAACTGGTTCCCAGGCTGCAAGCCGCTAATGCAGCAAGCGATGGCCAAAATCATGAAGGCGAACCCTGCTCTGTATGTGCTGCGCGAGCGTATCCGTAAGGGCCTGCAGCTCTACTCGTCCGAGCCGACAGAGCCGTATCTATCCAGTCAGAACTACGGCGAGCTGTTCTCCAATCAGATCATTTGGTTTGTTGATGACACGAACGTGTACCGAGTGACGATCCACAAGACGTTCGAAGGTAACCTGACGACCAAGCCCATCAACGGTGCCATTTTCATCTTCAACCCACGTACTGGCCAGTTGTTCCTCAAGATTATCCACACCTCAGTGTGGGCAGGACAGAAACGTTTGGGTCAACTGGCCAAGTGGAAGACTGCCGAGGAAGTAGCCGCCTTGATTCGCTCGCTGCCTGTTGAAGAGCAGCCCAAGCAGATCATTGTGACACGCAAGGGAATGCTGGATCCACTGGAAGTGCATCTACTGGACTTCCCGAACATTGTCATCAAGGGCAGCGAGCTCCAGCTGCCGTTCCAGGCGTGTTTGAAGGTCGAGAAGTTCGGCGATTTGATTCTCAAGGCGACGGAGCCGCAGATGGTGCTGTTCAACATCTACGACGACTGGCTGAACACGATCACGTCGTACACGGCGTTCTCTCGTCTGATCCTGATCTTGCGTGCGCTACACGTGAGCAACGACCGCACCAAGATCATCTTGCGGCCAGATGGCGAGACGACGACGCAGCCGCACCACATCTGGCCGTCGTTGACGGATGAGCAATGGCTGAAGGTGGAAGTGCAGCTGAAGGACTTGATCCTGGGCGACTATGGCAAGAAGAACAACGTGAACGTTGCGTCTCTCACGCAGTCTGAGATCCGTGATATCATCTTGGGTATGGAGATTTCAGCGCCGTCACTGCAACGTCAGCAGGTCGCGGAGATCGAACAACAAGCGCGTGAACAGAGCCAACTGACGTCCGTGACGACCAAGACGGTCAACAAACATGGTGACGAGATGGTAGTCACCACCACCAGTCAGTACGAACAGCACTCGTTCGCGTCCAAGACAGACTGGCGTGTGCGTGCCATCTCAGCGACGAACCTGCACTTGCGTACCAACCACATTTACGTGTCGTCAGATGATATCAAGGAGACGGGCTTCACGTATGTGCTGCCCAAGAACGTGCTCAACAAGTTCATCACTGTGTCGGATCTGCGTACACAGATCTGCGGTCTCATGTACGGCGTTAGTCCACCGGATAACCCGCAGGTGAAGGAGATCCGCTGTATTGTGATGCCACCACAGCTCGGTACGCATCAGAGCGTGACGATCCCGCTGCACATGCCTGACCACGAGTATCTGGAAGGTATGGAGGCGCTTGGTTGGCTTCACACGCAGCCCAATGAGCTGCCGAGCTTACCACCTCAAGACGTGACGTTCCACTCCAAGATCATGTCGGAGAACACGTCGTGGGATGGCGAGAAGACGATCATTATCACGTGCAGCTTCACGCCTGGTTCGTGCTCTTTAACGGCGTACAAACTGACGCCTGCGGGCTACGAGTGGGGGCGACAGAACAAGGATAGTGGCGCTAATCCAGCAGGTTTCGTCCCGACACATTACGAGAAGGTGCAAATGCTGCTGTCGGACAGATTCATGGGCTTCTACATGGTGCCAGAGGAGGACGTGTGGAACTTTAACTTTATGGGAGTCAAGCACAATACCGGGATGAAGTACGACCTGAAGCTGGGCAACCCCAAGGAATTCTACCATGAAATTCACCGTAAGACGCACTTCATGAACTTCAGCGCGCTGGAGGCGACGGAGGAAGAGACCACAGTCGACGAAGAGCAGCAGAATGTGTTCGCATAGTCTCTTGAAGGCGCTAGAAGGTCAACACCTTTCATTAGTAATAATGCCATTTCTTTGTCAGAATCTGCTTACATCTTTCATAATTCAGCGAAAAATTAAAGTTTGAATGCTGATATGCTAAGTACGATTTCATCTCCACCCCCCGTGATCCAATAAGAAAAAAAGCTTCGAGTGCGTACTCGTCCGCCCCCTTGCTTCCGTCGTCGCTGTGCAATATTGTACATCTAACACGCAGCAGAAGCGATACAAGGTACGTCTTGCTTCTCTCTAATTCATCGTCTGCGAGCTTTAATGCAGCTCTGTGGACCTCGCAATTAACCATTGAACATTGCCAATGATTTCAGGAACCGAGCCGAGCATCGACATAATACGAGCAATACAAGTGTAGTTTATTGACTGCAACAGCTAGACGCATGTCGGGAGACGCGCGTGCAAAGGACAACAAGTCCTCGCTTAGCCACCGCGCTCAGCAGAAGTTCAAGTGAGGTTTCACTGTCACAATAACACCATTTTAGCCATAATACTGACGAATTGTACCTTTTTACAGCGCCGGCAAGTACGAAGAAGCCGTCGATGCTTTGGAAAAGCTCGTAGAGGAGATCGACCCTCGTCAGGACCTCAAAGTGCGTCACAACGTGGCACTAGCTCGCTTCGCCGCTGGTCTAGACACACCCGACAAGCTGCAACAAGCGCTACGCCAAAACCTTCGTACGCAGCTACAAGAGCACGATAAGAACAGCAAACCAGCCTCAGCTGCAACCGATGGAGAGTCTGAGGGCACGGAAGACAGCGGCTCCTTCTCCATTGAGAGGGAGACAGCTTACCTCCGCTACAACTACGCAGCGTCACTGTTCCTGACCAAGCAGTACGCACAAGCCAGCTCTGTTCTGGAAGCTGTGATGCGCAATGTGGACCCTATCGATGAAAATGTAGCCATGCACGCCAGTTTCCTGTACCTGGACGTCATTTTACACAGTAGCAGAGGCTGCGTGAGCACAGAGAGGGAACGAGCCGCGACTATCAAGAAAGCTCAAAGCATTTTGGCGTTTTTGGAGAAGCCTCACCGGTTTAATACCGTCCAGGAAGTGGCCGAGCATCTGGTACTGCGAGATGCTAATGGGAATGTGGTGGAGACGGAGACGCAGAAGAAAAATCGATGGGATGTGACGGAGTTTCGCTTCCGACTGCATTTGTATCGCGCCAAGTTCATGTTGCTGCAGAGCAATCTCAAGACGGCGAAGAAGGAGGTCAAGTCGGCGCTGGAGATCTTCCAGAAGGAGATCAAGACGTACGACCGAGGGGAGGCTGCCACGTCGTCGTCTTCGCTGGCCATGGAGTCGGAGAAGACGAGCTCAGCCATTGGACATCCGTGTCTGGTGGTGCAGAACTCGACGGCGCTGTTTTTGAAGGCCAATCTGGAATATTTAAAGAAGAACTACAAGAAATGTATCAAGCTTCTTGCATCGTGTACACAGGAGGCTGTGAGCGAGGTACGTCTGCTATAAGCTTGGGAAAATTATGGTGGGGAAAGGAGCAGATTGCTGACTTTGTGGGCGTTATAATTTGCAGAGTGTTTTGTTGAATAATATGGGCTGCATCCACTACCAGATGGGGCAGCGCAAGGCGGCACAGTCATACTTTGCCAGAGCACTCCAAGCGACCACCAAGGCCACCAAGATGGACGCCGTCGTCCTTGCGAGCTCGTCTCACCATGAAATCATGTACAATAATGGACTGCACTTGCTGCTTCAAGGGGAGTACGCGCTGGCCTTCCGGTGCTTCCACGAGTCGTCGAGACTGTTCTTCAACCGCCCCAAGTTGTGGCTTCGACTGGGCGAGTGCTGTACTGCGGCGTTTGCCAAGGAGCAGAAGCTGGCGGTCGTGGCAGGGAACAAGAGCGGGCTGATCCAGGGTATTGTGGGCTCTGGCTCCCATCGTCGCGTACTGCTGCCTACCAGTGTACCGTCTGCGGCGTCACAAGACATCAAACTACCGGAGAAGAACGCCAATGGCAACGGAACTCGCTCTGCGTCTACAGACGCCAACGACGCGGATGGCTCACCGACGATGAGTCTGCCGTTTGGTGCCAAGTGCTTCAAGAACGTCGTGTTGCTCTGCAATCAGCTGCTGGAGTCCGGACATGTGAATGGCAACGCCGATAGTGCTGGTGAAGGCGCAGATAGTAAAGCTCTGGACTCGGAGGCGCTCGATGTGCTGCGTCAGAAGGCACTGGTGAACCTGTCGTACGTCTACTTGTCCATGTACGAGCCTCAGTTGGCTATCACAAGTGCGAAGGAGTTGCTGGTGTTGCCCACGTGCTCCAAGGCCAACAGCTTCTTGGCGCGGTCTTACACTGCTGAAGCGCTTTGCATGTTGTCAAGAGCAGCAGAGGCGACGGAAACACTGCAGTCCGAGCGGAACTTGATCGCTATGGCTGAAGAATACGCGCGAGAGGCCAACATCCAGGTAAGAAGAACCCAGTGCTGGACGTTGCTGATGTCGTATTCTGGCGCTAACGTTTGTGTATGTTTTAACGATTTCAGTTGTCGCGTGCGAGAGCTGGTGTCCACGTGAACAACGCGACGTCGCTGCTGCTTCAAGGACGCAGCTCGGAAGCTGAAGAAAGTGTAACTCGAGCTGTGAGGGAGAACCCCAACTGCCGTGAATCTCTGGAGCTGTTAGTCTACGTGCTGTTGAAGAAAGGAGACACCAAGAAGGCAGCTCGCGTGCTGAAGGAAGCGCAGGTGGTGCAGTAACGCTGCTCACTGTACTGTAAGAAGTAGCACCCAATAGCAACCAGGGACGAGTGTTTGACAGGCATAGTAACAACATGTTTATGGGGTCACCACGTGACGGACGAAATGAAATTGTGGTCGTGGTGTTTCCGGTGCCAAAGTTCACAGCAGGAATTGGTTCTGTGTCATTTCTGGTTCCCAAGCCCCCTCTGTTTGCTGTTCTACCCTATCGAGCCGAGAGGAGATTGCTTCACCTCCTGTGTCCCTTCCCTCTCTGCTCATTTTGTGTTCTTGTGTTTGTCTGCCTACCTAGTGCGTTGCTTGCCAGCCACCGATTGTGACTGTACCCTTTTCACAATCTGAAAGCTGAGCTTCTGAGCTTCACCGCTTGGTGTCTTGCAAGTTGGCTGCTGCACATATTATACCGCTTTACGACGTGGCGTCCACCTTGCCACCACGGCGGTTGCCCGTCTTCTCGCGACGCGGAGCTTCACGTCGCTCACCCTTGGAAGGAGCTTCGTCGCCGTTACGTTCCTTTCGGTCACCACGACCGCTCTTGGGTCCATGGCCACGTCCACGGCCACGCGTGTCGTTGCTGCGGAAGCTGCCGCGCTGTCCATCCTTGCGTTCGGCACGTTCGTCCACCTGGAGCACCTTGTCGAACACCTTGAGCTCCTTCGTCTCCGCCAGAGCCGCACGCATGCTCTCCTGCTCGTAGTAGTCCACGAACGCGAAGCCACGTTGAGCCACGACACTCACCCCAGCGATGGAGCCGTAGCTCTTGAACAGCTCGCGTAGGTCGTTCTCACTGGTCTGTGCCGGCACGTCCCGGATGAACAGACTGTGCAGACGCTTGTGTTCCTTCTCCTTGCCGTTTCCAGTCTTGTTCTTAGGCGACTTCTCGGGCGCGGGAGCATTCGTAGTCGGAGTAATCGACGCAGGAGCGGGGGCAGGAGCAGCCTTGGGCGTCGACGGCTTCACAGGAGTCGAAACAGGCGCAGACGGTGTGACACTGGCTGGCTTGGAGCCCGAGAACAAGGCAGCCCACGTCTTGGGCTTCTCCGGCTCAGCTGGAGACGTCACAACGGGATCCGCCGGAGCGGGAGCGGGCGACGCAGGAGTCGGCGCCTTATCCTGCTTCTTAGGCGACTTTTCCGGCGATTTAACTGGAGATTTAACCGGCGACGGTGTCTTAACAGCAGGCGTCTCAACCTCCTTCGTCGTAGTAGTCGTAGTAGTCGTTATCTTCTTGACAGGTGACGAGGCAACTGTAGCCGTGGCTTTAACAGGCGACGCAGGAGCAGCTTCCTTCACTTCCTTGGTGGTCGTAGTCTTTATGGTCTGAACAGGCGACGCTGCTTTCTTAGGAGAAAGAGGCACAGGTGTCTCCACCTTAACAGGCGACTTGGGCGTCTCGGCCTTGCCGTTCTCCTTGTCCTTAACCTCGTCGACAGGCGACGCACCGGGAAGTTCAAGGAAGCGCAGACAATCATTCAGCACAAAGTAGCCCTTAGGCTGCACAGCCAAGAAGAAAGTCTGCACGAAAGGCTTGGGTACGGGGTCGTCACGCAACGTCATGACGCCTGTGACCAACACGAGCACACCGCCGCCAAGAGAGTTCTGGCAGTCGATGGAGCCCGCATCCAAGTCCACGCGAGCTCCAGCATAGCCGCGCTTAAGGATCTGGTCGTTGATGGCACGTTGACCCGCGATAGGCTCCTCCATGTGCGAGCCAACGCCATGGCACCACCGACTTTCAGCCTTATAGAAGCGGTGCAGACTCTGCGGCTCCTTAGCCAGGAAGTGATAGTACTGACGCATAAACGTGTTGCCCACGGTGGACGGAGACGGCGTCGGCTCGTCCTCGTGGGCGGCGGGGGCGGACGTCTCGGGCATTGGGGGCGAAATGTATGGGGAGCTACTCGTAGCGGGTTTGACGGGAGATTTCAGATTGGATCTCTCGCTGGCGGCAAATCTAACGGTCGGGCACTGCAGCGGAAGCTTACGAACGACAAGTGTAAATGTATAGAAATGATAGACGTATAATGATGTATAGACTGTGTAAAATGCTCTTGTGCTGTGCAGATGTGAGGCTGTATACATGTAGTAGCTCTATTATGCAGTTCTTTGTAGCCATAAAGCCAAGTTGAAGTGCTATTTTGCGGGTCACTTGAGCGCAAAGACGAGAGGGATGATGATAGCTGCGAGGATGAGTGTGAAGAGGCAAAGGTACCAAAGATACTTCTGTCGAGCCTCGCGCTGGAGTTGACGCGCGTGCTGTAGCTCATCGACGCCCTTACCGATTTCCACTCGAACCGCTTCCACCTTGGTGGCGATCTGGTCCACGCCGTGGCCTTGCTCGCTGACTAGCGTCCCAACATGGCGAAAAAGCTCGTTGACAGCTGCAGCTTCTTGAGCAATCTCGCCAGCTTCAAGAACTTCTTCTTTCGCAGTCTGTATCTCCTGCGCAGAGATCGCGACAGACCCGTTGCCAGCCATGAAGTCGGCGTCGCACAACGCCTCTCGACGGGCAGCTGCTTGGCGTTGAGCACTCTGTAGATCCTGCATGACATTGACGAAAGCTCGCTGTACATCACGGAAGCCGCTGGTTTCTGCTTTATCGCGCTTGTGTTCACGTAGGAACGTGGCGAGAGCTTGGTACGTCCCAGTGGCTTCATCGAGCTGTGGCACCACACCTGTTATGTAGTCTTGCTCGGTCTTCAGTGTCGGACTCAATGCTGCTTCACCGATGTTAGAGGTGAGTGTGCGTAGTTTATCTAACAAGGTGCTAGCATCTTCAAGCGTCGAGATCTCTGGCACAGGACCGCTGTCTGCCATCATGCTTGGCTATAAGACCAAGAGAGCGCAGAGTATAGTTGAGAGTTTCATCATTTATCAAAAGTAGGTGTTCTTATCTAGGAACTTTCCTACGAATAGCAAAGAATCGATCAGCTTACTCCCAGAAATACCTCTCGAATCAACTATTTCTAATGAACCAAAAATAGTGATGACGTCTATTATTCAGCTGAAATGGATCCGTTTCGCTCGGACGCTGTTAATTTTGGACCAGAATCGACGATATGCTGGCTGGAGTGTGCACATGCTCAGCTTTCCTTCTAACGACCAACGACCAACAGCGAAGTGTTATTGTTCTACGATACGTCAAAGCGCCACGCCAAGTCGATAAAAATGCCTGGACCAACACTTTTGACTCCTAGTGGCGTTGATAACAATGCGAAGACAGCAAGCGAAGATGCCAGCTGTGACCAAACGCGGAAGAAAGGTTTACTCGGCAGGATCAAGAGTAAGCTGTCGAAGAATTTCGGTCCTCGGAAACAGGCCACTGTGGCTTCACCTTCACCCAAAGATTTGATAAAAACAAAGCCTGAAATACCGGATATTGTACAACAAATTGAGCAGGAAGAAACCAATGGGGAATGTGGTGACATGGAGGACACAGATTCTGGGCATCAATCTCAAAATGATGAGGTGGATGAAACTGATTCTGTGCTTCAATTCGACACTCCAGTGCCTAGCTTAGAGAGCGTTGCTAATGAAGCCGACAGAGATCATATTTGCACTGTGAAGCAAGGTCTCGAAGAGTACAAGCAGAAAGGCTTTGAAACACCAGAGCTGGTTGAAAATGACGATATCGATGAAGAAGATCAACAGGAGAAAGAAGAAAGGATTGCTTCTCACAACGAGACGGAGGAAGCCTTCCGAAGCGATTCCGAACAGGCTGATCGAACCACAGAACCGACACAACAGACACCCGAAGAAGATCAAGACGAGATGCTTGAGGTGTTCGATATTGGCGAAGACAACCAGCAGCTAGGTACGTCCTCTTGTGTGCCTGAAGGCAATGAAGACGAAAATTGCAATGACGAAGTGGAATACATCGCTCCAACGGAAACAATGCAGGCTGTCGATCTAATGATAATCGGGGTTACCCCAAAGGCACTACAGAATCATACTCCATGTGACGATGCATGCGAGGAAGAAGAGGAACGTCTAGATACTGAACCCGATGCAGTGGCAACACCTCGTATCAATGAACCACTAGCGTCTCCGTTAAAACGCGTACGTCCTGGACCTGGTGTTGGAATGATGCCTCCAATGGGGACGTCCAACAACTTGCCCCATCCTCCTCTTCATGAAATTCACGAAGAAGAAGAAGAAACTAAAGCTGACCAATCTTCATCACTACGGACTTTTGCTGGCCGACGTCATATTCTGATTGAAACACCAATCTTGTCTTCAGCATCAGCCCCGTACTCCCCTCAAGTTGACGAGTCTAACTCAAATACATTTGAAGTGGAGCCTCGTGTCGATGAAGAAGTCAATGAAGACATAGATACTAAGACAGTGGACACTGGCGCGTTGATCACTTATGCATTCGGTGAGCGAATCGTCAACTTGCTGGCAGCTGACCCATGGGGTGACCGACAAGATGGCTTCGATGCTATTAAACTAGTAGTGAAGAAGGTCAACGTCTCTACTGCCGACTCAGTGACACGACAACGCTTACTGTGCGCTTCACTTGCAGCTGTGCAATGTGGCGTGGAGGATCGAGTGGCCCCCGTCATGTATTGTGCCCTCGAGTGTTTTCGTGCCATTCTCAAGGAATTCGCTCGTGTCCTTCCGGACAAACGTGTTGACATTGAATCGAAAAGCGCAGCGGTTCTTAACACCCAGCTGTCAACTTTGGTGGGTGCTCTAGTCAAGAAGCTAGGAGACTCCAACAAGCGGACGCAGCGTGAAGCAACTCAAGCGTTGGTTCGCATCGCCCGTCTTCGATCATTGCGAGCACTGCCTCACTTGCTACTGCACTTGAGTGGACGAGAAGTTCCACCTCGTCGGAAGCTTGAAACACTGCGTCGTTTAATGCAAGAGTTTGGTCTTACAACCGCAGCTGATTCCTCAGCGCAACAGAAATTGACAGTGGAAGCTGTACTCGAGTTTGTGGCACCAAGTCTCAACATCGCGGAGGAGAAGACTCGCAAAGTCGCAGTTGAGATTCTCGCAGATCTCCAGACTCGAACTGGTAACTCGACAGCGTGGCATGCGCAGCTGGCTCGTGCAGGAGCAGTCAAGCCCGAAATGCTTCGTGTGATTACGCGTCGTGTTGATGAATTGCTGGCTAAGAGAGAACAGCAGCAAGCTGCCACCGCAGAGGCAGCAGCAGGCAGTGCTGCGATAAACCAGGCAGAGCAGCACATCGATGACGAAGCTGCGTTCCCTCCAGCTGAACTCGTCGATGTGCCTCAGGAAGACGCTCAGTCTAGCATTAAACTACTTGAGACCTCGCTATTAACTGCGCAGAATATCGTAGGCCCTGTGTGCTGGCGAAAGCTGACAAGCAAGACGTGGAGTGACAGAAAGGAGGCCTTACTCGACGTCGAGAAAGCTATGATGGAAGCCAAGTCGGACCTACGCGACACTCGACCGACATTTGGGAGCTCTACTCAGTCCACGTTTGTGGCGTATAGTGCGTTATTACACCGAGCGTTAAGAGACAGCATTGCGCCTGTGGTGAACACTGCGTTGGATGCCTATGCAACACTCGTCAAGATTTACGGTCCACATATCGAATGGCGCGGGGTGGATGTCCGTGATGTCACGCTATTGACTTTACTTAGATTATTGGCAGCGATGCAGAAGCCAAACACACGGACGACTCGTGCTGCTTGTCGAGGGGTCCTCAAGCTGGCAAGGCTGCCAAACGCTCGTCACCCGCTTCGATACGTGCTCTCTTGTGTGTTCGGTGGCGAAGGCAACAGCGCGTGTGACCCACAGGTTCAGATGCACTTACTCCGTCTTCTAGTACCGGAGTTTGGCTTCCAGGCTGATGGCCTTGGAGCGTCACGTGTGCTTGATGCAGTTAGCAAGGGCTTAACACACAACAGCGTTCGAGTCCGTCGCTCGGCTGCAGATGTTGCACTGAGTGCTCAACGACTTTTAGGGCGGGAGTTCGTGTTAGCTCGACTTCAAGGTGTCAAACCCGTAACGCTGAAGGAACTTGAGAAAAGTTTCGTTGATGGCGTGCGGTCTGGGGGTGCTGAGCGTCCACAAACTGTGCATGCTACTGCTGCGGAAGGCTCAGCACCTGTAGCTATTGGAGGCTCAGGCTTACCTCCCGTGACATTCGGTGGACCTGGAGAGCTCGCATCGAGGCGGTTGCTTCACAGTGCACCGGTGGGTATTGGGCGTTTGCAATTCACACCGCTCATTGAAGAAGTATCGGCGAGTCCTCCTCGCGCGCGTGCTTCAGTTCTTAGCAATGAGGAAGAAAACCTAATGGACTCGATCCTTGGTGGAGATATTTACTAAAAAATAACAATTACAAATTACATGCACTAAATCTTCTTTCATGTATTAAACAAGTCGCATTACAAGATTGTGGGATGCGTCCAAGATTTAGGTGTGCGCCGATAATTTCCATTTTTTGATATTACGGCAAAAAATGTTCGCAATACATGTACGGCGACTCAGGCCCAAACAACTCTTTATTTTAACATTTGCCGCCTGAACATCAAGTTGTCATAGCCAAAACCAGCCAAAAATGACTGCCAAGGTCTCGTGGGTCTCCGAAAAAGCCAATTTTGTTCGTGAGACTAGCAAGTTCCGCAATTGGATCGAGCCTGACGCCGGCGCCGAGTTTCCCGCGGAGGCGAACCGATACCATCTTTACGTGTCGCTAGCGTGTCCATGGGCAAATCGCACCTTGATCACACTCTACATGAAAGGCCTGCAGGACATTATTGGCCTGTCGGTGACGCACCCCTTGTTCCAACGCACGCGTCCCGAGGACCCCGAAGACGATCATGTAGGCTGGGCCTTCGTAGACCCCACTGAAACCCCGTGGCTGCCCGGTCCGTCTGGGCTCGGACAATACTCGTCAGAAGGCGCCACATCTGATAGCGTGAACAATGCAAAGTTCGTACGTGACTTGTACGAAATGTGCTCCACGATGAAGACGCGCTACACAGTGCCAGTCCTATGAGACAGGGTCAAGAAAACCATCGTCTCGAACGAGTCCGCTGACATCATACGCATGTTCAACTCGTCGTTTGACGCCATCGCTCCGTCCAAGGCTGACCTTTACCCACCCAAGTTCCGCGACGACATTAATGCGATCAACGAGTGGATCTACGACGACATTAACAACGGCGTCTACAAGTGCGGCCTTTCCACCATTCAAGACGAATACGATCAAGCCGTGAACAAGCTGTTTGAAAGCCTAGACCGCGTGGAGGAGATCCTGTCGAAGCAGCGCATTCTGGTGGGTGACGTATTCACTGAAGCGGATGTGCGTCTGTACACGACCCTCATTCGCTTCGACGACGTCTACTTCGTGCATTTCAAGACGAACAAGAAGATGATCGCGCAGTACCCGAATTTGCTGAATGTAAGTGATGAAACAGATGTGTGTGTTGCCTTTATCGACTAAGCTGTCGCGTCATATGCTTGCTGGATTCCTTTGATAGTACACGCGCGAGATTTTTCAGCTCCTTCCGGTGGCAAATTCGGTCGACTGGGAAACTCTTGCCCGTCATATTCGGGATCATTACTATGGCTCTCACACACCTATCAACACGTTTGGCATCGTCCTCGCTGGACGGAACACGGATTACGATGTAAAGCATGATCGCGGTCGCTTTTGGAGTGCAACGTTTTCCGGCTAATCACTGAGCGAACGGAATGGGGAGGTTCAGGTTAATCCCAGAAACTGAAATGCACATACATCTGATATCCTCGCCAGCGCGCAAGCATACTACTTTCAGCCAGATCATATGAAGTAGATACATACTAACGTAGTAACATTATCAAGAATCTATAACCTATGCTTACTTGATTATCAAGAATCTATAACCTATGCCTACTTGATATCCTTTGAGAACTTAGTTTTCAGTTTCTGGGCAGAGTCTGTACTTAAGTTCCAACTGGCAAACAACCTTTATTTACAAAAATGTAAATAAACGCAAATCCTGAAAAGCGATCCGACGAGCACACAGAGTACAGAGGGACAGTGACAGACACACTACGGTGAGTTTTGGCACTTTATATCTGTTGCTGCACCTTAACTCTGTTGTAACACAACACGTTATGAATGAATAATATCAATTCTCCGACCATACTTGAATAAAATATTAGTATTAATGGCCAATCAGAAAGGATAGCCCGTATTTGGACGAATCATACATCGACTGTGCCAATATTTTGACTAATCAAAGCACGGTAGGTCAGTATAGGTCGATAAGAGGCAGCTCCGACATATGGGGTCGGAGGCCCCTCTTGTGTTATTGATATCGGCATACAAACCTCCACTCATTAGCATATTTTGCAAATAGCACGCGAGCTCCGACCCCTCCGACGCAAGATGAGTCTGAGCGACCTCGCACCGACAAACACGAAGCGCGCACGGGATGGCGCGGCACGCATGTTCAAAGCGTTTCTTGAGGAAGAAGGGGTGACATGGGAGTACCTAGAGGTGTGCATGAAGCGCGACAACGCTCCCCGCGTTTTGGAGGCCGTGGTGGACAAGTTTGGAATGCATCTCGCTTTCAAGGAAGGACTGAAGGGCAGCCTGTTGGCTAGGCACTCAGTCATGCAGTACTACCGACAGGCAAAGAACTGGTTGCTCGATCAGTTCCCACAGCATCGAGAGGCTGTCGGCAAGGTTCTCCTGAAGAAGGGTCAAGTGCTGGAGCGCTATTGCATGAAGCGAGAGTCAGGCAATTTTGTGAAGAAGGCACCTGCATGCACGAAGAAAGCACTCAAGCAGATGATGGTGTACCTCTATTCAAATGGTGTAACAGCTTCGGACTACCAAGACGCGGCGCTGCTGTGCTTGCTCTGGTTTCTGTTTGGCCGAGCCTCTAACATCTCGCTACTCCGGAAGGTGAACTTATCCATCGGTTCGGGGGGAATATTTTTCCTGAGGCTGATCCGTGTCAAGACGTCCGAAGAACAAGGTCTCTCCCTTTTTCCCGACGACGACTTCGCCACGTGTCCTCTGCTAGCTATCGCTGTGGCTCTTGCAACTCAATCGGCACCGGCGGCTGCGCTGCTAAACCACCTCCCTGAACAACAAGTGGCGACCGAAGCTTCCCTGACTCCGGCAGCACCACTGATCGATCTGATTGATAACCCAGAAGCTGTCGCTCCACTCAACTCCACCACAGATGAGAACAAGCCGCTTGACGACACTACTGGAATCCACGGCTACGTGAATCGCGTCTTGACGAGAATAATGCCTGAAGCTGGCGTTGTCCAGCGCTTGACGTCACATTCGTTTAGACGCGGTGGCGCACAACATGCGAATAGTGTTGGCATGTGTGTGCAGTGGATCTTCGACAGAGGCGCGTGGAACATGACGGCAACCAACAAGGCCTTCGCATACGTCTTCAACACCCCAGCTGAAGATCACAAGGTGGCTCGTGTTTTGAGTAATCGAGGACCAGATGACTCCGTCGCTTTGCTGTCACTTGATGTATTCGACTCTTATACCCGGCAAAGTATTCGCTTGGTCTCTTCAGCTTTATTCACGTCTTCGTCCGGAATGGAATCAGAGCAGTACAACGTTAACGCGGCTGTACACGACACTCTCATGGCTTACCTTCTGCGGCACTATCCGTCACTGAAGACTCTATCGACGTCCGGTCTTGTAATTCAGCGCTTGGAAGCTTGTGGTGAGGATAAAGGCTTCACTGTAAATCATCTGCTTGCTTGGTCGGCGTACCTCAGTAGAAACCCAAGTACTGCGGAGGACTCTAAAAGCAAATTTGCACAGGACAACCCAGACGACATCACCCAGCATCCAGTATATTTTCAGCAAACAGCATTGATTGAGCAGTTAATCCAGGTCAACAAGAAGCTTGACGCTCGGTTGACTGTAATGGAAGACATAATCGGAAACAAACACCCACGCGCGCCTACAAAATCAGAAGAAAGTGAGGACTCAAGCGAGAAGCAGTCTCCAGGAAAGCGACGCCGTACCTCTCCAGCTCTAAGCTTGAAGGATGTCTGGTTCGCGTGGTACACTCAAGAACCGCGCATGTGGAGCTTGACGGATGCTGAAAGCAAGCACACACGCTCAACAGGCAAGCAGGTCGTTGCGTTCTTGAAACTGTTCCTTTACGATGGCTTTGTCTTGGACAAGCACTCTGCTCGCTACCGCGACGATGTTCTCGAAACAGGAAGCCTTGCTGAGAAGACAATGCTGGCGTTCTTACAGCAGCACAACGTCACTGCCCGCGGAGCGCAAAGCGTCCTGAAGTCCATGCGGAAACTACACAAAGCTGGCCAACTGAATGAGCACATTGGTAAGTACCTACAACGTCAAGCTCAAGGTCTCATCATGAATCCTGCTCCTCCGCATACTTGCAACACGATCGGGTTAGTGACCATGAAGTAATAAATAAAAACACCCACCTTTCTGGTCATGTCCAGTCATATTTTGCGAAGTTTTGCGCGCTGCACTCTCTGCTGTTCACTCTTCCTTTTGTTCTCAAACCTTGACACCTCAGCCTCGGATGCCTACCAAGAAGCCAACCAAGAACGGCATTAGCTCTGCGAAAGAGTTCAAGACCCTGTGCATCGCTGTGGCCAAGTCTTGCAAGATCCGGGTTAGTGATGAAGCTATTCGTCACCTTCGACTTACCATGAACATTACCGTCGCCTCTACCAGCCTGCTTCCTGAAGCAATTCAAGTCGTCTTCACCTCGTTGGCTGAGCGCAAGATCCAGCGGGCAAAGCTTGTCGACATCCGCGAGTGGCTGGCTCCTCCTGCTGTCGACAACGACGAGGTGGACGGTGACGAAGATAGCGAAAGCGAGAAGATCCACTACGTCCGCAAGATCTTGAACTGGAAGCGCGTTAAGGGCAAAACGTACTACCTCGTCGAGTGGGAGTCAACTTGGGAGCCACGCGAGCACTTGAGCCAAAACATCGTCGCCGCGTTCGAGAAGGAGCGTCGCTTGCTTGTGCGCAAGAAGTTCTTCGAAGACGAGGCTGTGGAAGATAACACGCTCAACATCACGGAAGGATAAAACAAAACAAGATCTAGTGAGGCGCAAACGGCTTCCTATTACAAGTTTAGAAAGTGTTAATGAGTAGAGAGACTTGAACAACAATGTTAACCGCTGACAATAGAACACAAAGCTTAACCTCCTAACGGAACAGCAATGTTAACCTCCATCATCATAGCACACAGAGTTTAACGCAAGACGGCTACACAATACACACACTCGCACGCACACGCGCATACACACACAAACACGCAACAACACACTCACTAATGGCTTGCGTCTGACGGCTGAAAAATCGTG